GCGTACCAGCCAGTCATTGCACAGTTTCTAGCCACACGACGCACAAACAAGCGTCACGTGCTGCGTAGTTGTGCGAAAGAGCCCAAACCAGATCCTATGGCAAGGGAATTGAGTGAACTCACTGAATCTGTGAAGAAATGTGGCTACAAAACACAACCAAGCGACGAAACGGTAACATGTTGCGTACCAGCCAGTGCTTGCGCAGTTTGTAGCCATGCGACACATGAACAAGCGTCACGTGTGGGGTAGTTGTGCGAAAGAGCCCAAACCAGTTCCTATGGCAAGGGAATTGAGTGCCCTCACAGAATCTGTGAAGAATTGGATTTAAAAGCAACAATCAAGCGACGAAACGGTAACATGTTGCGTATCAGCCAGTCATTGCACAGTTTCTAGCCACACGATGCACAAACAAGTGTCACGTGATGCGTAATTGTGCTAAAGAGCCCAAACCAGTTCCTATGGCAAGGGAATTGAGTGAACTCACTGAATCTGTAAAGAAATGGGGCTACAAAACACAACCAAGCGACGAAACGGTAACATGCTGCGTACCAGCCAGTCCTTGCACAGTTTCTAGCCACCCTTGCATGAACAAGCGTCACGCGCTGCGTAATTGTGCGAAAGAGCCCAAACCAGTTCCTATGGCAAGGGAATTGAGTTAACTCACCGAATCTGTGAAGAAATGGGGCTACAAAAAACAACCAAGCGACGAAACGCTAACATGTTGCGTACCAGCCAGTCATTGCACAGTTTCTAGCCACACGACGCACAAACAAGCGTCACGTGGTGCGTAGTTGTGCGAAAGAGCCCAAACCAGATCCTATGGCAAGGGAATTGAGTGAACTCACTGAATCTGTGAAGAAATGTGGCTACAAAACACAACCAAGCGACAAAACGGTAACATGTTGCGTACCAGCCAGTGCTTGCGCAGTTTGTAGCCATGCGACACATGAACAAGCGTCACGTGCGGGGTAGTTGTGCGAAAGAGCCCAAACCAGTTCCTATGGCAAGGGAATTGAGTGCCCTCACAGAATCTGTGAAGAATTGGATTTAAAAGCAACAATCAAGCGACGAAACGGTAACATGTTGCGTATCAGCCAGTCATTGCACAGTTTCTAGCCACACGATGCACAAACAAGTGTCACGTGATGCGTAACTGTGCTAAAGAGCCCAAACCAGTTCCTATGGCAAGGGAATTGAGTGAACACTGAATCTGTGAAGAAATGGGGCTACAAAACACAACCAAGCGACGAAACGGTAACATGTTGCGTGCCAGCCAGTCCTTGCACAGTTTCTAGCCACCCTTGCATGAACAAGCGTCACGCGCTGCGTAATTGTGCGAAAGAGCCCAAACCAGTTCCTATGGCAAGGGAATTGAGTTAACTCACCGAATCTGTGAAGAAATGGGGCTACAAAAAACAACCAAGCGACGAAACGCTAACATGTTGCGTACCAGCCAGTCATTGCGCAGTTTCTAGCCACACGACGCACAAACAAGCGTCACGTGCTGCGTAGTTGTGCGAAAGAGCCCAAACCAGATCCTATGGAAAGGGAATTGAGCGAACTCACTGAATCTGTGAAGAAATGTGGCTACAAAACACAACCAAGCGACGAAACGGTAACATGTTGCGTACCAGCCAGTGCTTGCGCAGTTTGTAGCCATGCGACACATGAACAAGCGTCACGTGCGGGGTAGTTGTGCGAAAGAGCCCAAACCAGTTCCTATGGCAAGGGAATTGAGTGCCCTCACAGAATCTGTGAAGAATTGGATTTAAAAGCAACAATCAAGCGACGAAACGGTAACATGTTGCGTATCAGCCAGTCATTGCACATTTTCTAGCCACACGATGCACAAACCAGTGTCACGTGATGCGTAATTGTGCTAAAGAGCCCAAACCAGTTCCTATGGCAAGGGAATTGAGTGAACACTGAATCTGTAAAGAAATGGGGCTACAAAACACAACCAAGCGACGAAACGGTAACATGTTGCGTACCAGCTAGTCCTTGCACAGTTTCTAGCCACCCTTGCATGAACAAGCGTCACGCGCTGCGTAATTGTGCGAAAGAGCCCAAACCAGTTCCTATGGCAAGGGAATTGAGTTCACTCACCGAATCTGTGAAGAAATGGGGCTACAAAAAACAACCAAGTGACGAAACGCTAACATGTTGCGTACCAGCCAGTCATTGCACAGTTTCTAGCCACACGACGCACAAACAAGCGTCACGTGCTGCGTAGTGTGTGCGAAAGAGCCCAAACCAGTTCCTATGGCGAGGGAAATGTTTGAACTCAGTGGATCTGTGAAGAAGGGGGGCTAAAAACAACAACCAAAGGTCAAAATGGTAACATGTTGTGTATCAGCCAGGCCTTGCACAGTTTCTAGCCATCTGACGCACAAGCAAGCGTCAGGTGCTGCATAGTTGTGCGACTAAGCCCAAACCAATGCCTATGTCCAGGATATTGGGAGTTCTGCATGGCACGGTTAGTATATGGTGCTTGAATGTAACATCGACAAGAAGTTGTCCGCCGTTTCGGCGGTCCAGATGCCCTCATACCGTTCTCGTCACCTCGACCATTCGCATTCGTGATCTCTTCTGAACACCTCACCCGGTCTAACGTTAACATCCACATCCCAATCATACCACTTGCAACTCTTAGGCAAATTAGTGGCTACCATTATGGCAAATTTGATTTTGTTTTAAGAGATCACTTCAAGCATGCCATTTTTGTACTTCTCGATTTTTGCGCTTCTAGTGAGGTTGAAGTTGTACAGGTTTGTTAGCGGCTCCACTAGTACCTAACCCACACCGTTTGTGTGGACTTGTCAAACAACCCCGTGTAGGAACCGCGCTTGCCAGCCAATGGCGACCAAATGCGTGAAACCCTAGCTTCCCCATACCAACGAGTCCCAGGTCCAGTGTTGTTCGGGGCCAACTCAGCAATGCCATCGTCTGTCTCGGTTGAGTCACGCTCCTGCTAACGTACCTCGCGCGCGACACCACAGACACGACCGGGGAGCAGTTACGTGAGCCTCCTTTCTTAAACTTTCGAATTTTGAATTAGAGATGGCCGTCGCCACTCTACACCTCTCTGAACCATGGCGCCATTGATCACGGAGCCTCTTGTTACTCCCGAGGCTCTGCTAGCTGAGCTTATGCTGATCTCGTGCTGAAGCTACGAGGCTTTCCCTATAAATAGAATGGGGAAACATACTTTCAGTAAGTTTTCCAGACTGACCAAAGTTGATTTTCCTCTACAATGGCATCCTCAGGACCACGACGCTCAGGTCGACCCACGAAAGGACAGCACAGCAGGTTCGCAGCAGCACTGCAATCAGTCCGTGTCCTAGGTCAACCCTCTGCTGGAATTTCGGCAGGTGCAGCTGCTTCCACGACGCCCACCGCAGGTGAGCCTGCCATTTGCGTATCGTGTTTAGTTTGAGGCTTGCATTTCACGGTTGCAGCCCTTGATTTGCCTGTCCTTCTGCCCTTGTTCCGCTTCTGACGCTATTCGTGATGCATTTTGTGCAGGCGAACGGATGGTGTCTATCACTTCTCTACTGGGATCGACACAACTGCCCGCTTCGACAACATCAAACTCTTCTCGGACTGGTGTCGGCCGCCGCAGTGGTGGGAGGCGCGCTAGTGTGCCGCCTGGTGCCAGACCAGTCGGTGTATCTATGCAGCACGTGGAGACACACGGCCAGCATCAGCAGCACCCCACGAACTTCCTGTCTCAGCAAGCCAATGGGCTGCAGCATCAGCTAACCTCTGGATCTTCTTTGCCTGGTGATCGCCAGCATCGGCAGCAGCCGCCCTCATCCATGCATCAGCATGCCAATGGGCTGCAACAGCACGAAACGTCGTCTCTTTCCCATCACGCGTAGCAGCCCACCTCGCCCCTGCCTCAGCAGCATCCGTCAGCAATGCTGCATCAGCAGCAGCAGTCAGCAACGCTGCATCTGCAGCAGCAGTCAGCAACGCTGCATCAGCAGCAGCCGTCAACAACGCTGCATCAGCAGGAGCCGCCTGCACCACTGCTTCAGCAGTCCCCGTCTGCACCCCTGCACCAGCAGCAGCCGTATGCACCGCTGCACCTGGAAACCAATGGGCAGCAGCATCACGCGCGTGTGCAGCATCAGCAGCAGCCCATCTCGCCAATGCATCAGCAGCAGCCCATCTCGCCAATGCATCAGCAGCAGCCCATCTCGCCAATACATCAGCAGCAGCCCACGTCGCCTCTGCATCAGCAGCAGCCCACGTCACCTTTGCATCAGCAGCAGACCACGTCGACAGAGAATCAGCAGCAGCCCACGGCGTTTGAGAATCAGCAGCAGCCCACGGCGCCTTTGCACCAGCAGCAGCCCACGTCACCTCTGCATCAGCAGCAGCCCACGTCGCCTCTGCATCAGCAGCAGCCCACGTCGCCTCTGCATCAGCAGCAGCCCACGTCACCTCTGCATCAGCAGCAGCCCACGTCGCCTCTGCATCAGCAGCAGACCACGTCACCTCTGCATCAGCAGCAGCCCACGTCGCCTCTGCATCAGCAGCAGCCCACGTCGCCTCTGCATCAGCAGCAGCCCACGTCGCCTCTGCATCAGCAGCAGCCCACGTCGCCTCTGCATCAGCAACAGCCCACGTCGCCTCTGCATCAACAGCAGACCACGTCCCCTCTGCATCAGCAGCAGCACACGTCGCCTCTGCATCAGCAGCACCCCACGTCGCCTCTGCATCAGCAGCAGCCCACGTCGCCTCTGCATCAGCAGCAGCCCACGTCGCCTCTGCATCAGCAGCAGACCACGTCACCTCTGCATCAGCAGCAGACCACGGCGCCTCTGTCTCAGCAGCAGGCTTCATCAGCGCTTCCCTTCCCACTGAATGGCCATGTACAGCAGCAGCCAAACTCATCACGGCGTTTCACGGGCTATGAGCTAAGTGATGACGAAGACCAAGAGGAATATGACCAACCTACGGATCCCGAAGGGTTTCCAGAGATTGAGCCAGAAATGCCGAATCCCGGATTCGTGCCGTTGTCTGCAGATCCCAATGCAGAGGAGGGGAACGAGATCATCGACAATGTTACACTGGCCGAATTTGAGGACACGCAAAGGGAGAACCGTGAGTTCCGCCGCCGCCTTATGGAATACGAGAACGAGCGTCGCAACATGCAGCGGGCTGCGGCGAACTCACCGACAAACAATGGAGGAGAAGGCACCAGCAACCCGACAAACTCCCCCGACATTGGCCAAGCCGAGGATGCGTCGCCGGATGGGGGCGGCCAGGCAGGTGCGGGTGGGAACGCAACGCGCAACAACGGCGTGGCAGCTGCTACTATGCTGCCACCAGTTCCCAGCGTCATTCGTGTGGAGCCGAACCGAAATGCAATCCAAAACGCGGTGAAGCTGGCGCACAACCGAGGCGTCATATTGGACTTGCAACAGCTGTCAAGCATGCAGCTGACGTGGGCTCACCGCTACGCCGCCGCCTTGGCATGCGTCCCCGATATTCACAACGGGTTTAAGGTCCGTTGGGTTTGGGTGCATGCTTGTTGTGAAGGTGGTTCACGTGGACTCTCTAAGTTTGCATGGAAACATCCAGTTTCATGAGTGGAGTGCATGTGCGCCTTCCCTTGCGCTTGTTCACCTCGCACGTAGCCCTATCCGCCCCCTCATCCTAAGCTTCCGCCTCCCCAACCCCTTCCCCGCCACCGCCCTTCACTCCCCTCCCTTTCATCTATCCCCCCTTCCACTGAGAACTCCCCTTGCTCCATTGTCAGGGAGCGGCGAAACGTGCGGTGGAGATCATGTACTTCGAGACGCCCGACGTCGACCTTGAGTATTGGACGCCGCGGGACACAAACATCACTGCACTTTGCACCGCTATCGGAATCACCGACGCCGACTATGTGGCGAAAGTGCGGCTGGTCATGGAGAACGAGAGAATGCGCCCGTCCCACCTCCGAAAACAGCAGCAGGATGCCCGCAACAAGGTCCACACAATGGGCCGTGTGATGCTGTACGAGAGCTTCAACATCCGCATTGCTCGACCGGATCGCGGGAGGGAAGTGGTCGGAACCCTCTCTCCAGCAGCATTTTGTGCCGAACATCGAGCTGGTAAGACGAAGCCCCACCCACGCCTTCTTTCTTAACCCCCACACCAGGCTCACCCCCTTTTTTGCCAATGCAGTGCACCTGCCATCGATGCGGGACCATACAGACCCGTGTGCCTCGTTCTCACGAAGCCCTCACTCCCTTGTGCCCCCCCCTTCCCTTTCCAGCAGGCACACATGCTGGCCAGGTGCAGCGCACCTGCCATATCTGTGGGTTTTAAAGTGCGGGCCGTGTGCCTCGGTCTAACCAGCCGCTCCGTCCCTTGTGTCCCCACCTTCCCCACCCAGCAGGCGCACCTGAGGGCAAAAACCCCCTGCAGTTGCCATTTTAGCGGGTTTCACATTGTGGGCCATGTGCCTCATTCTAACCAGCAGCACCCTCCCTTGTGTCCCCACCTTCCCCACCCTGCAGGCGCACCTGAGGGCAAACACCCATGCACCTGCCCTCCCTGTGGGTTCCAAAGTGTGGGCCATGTGCCTCGTTTATAACCAGCCGCACCCTACCTTGTGTCCCCACCTTTCCGACCCAGCATGTGCACCTGCAGTCAAAGTGTAGGGCACCTGCACTCCCTGTGGGCTTCAAAGTGTGGGCCGTGTGGCTCGTTCTAACCAGCATCTCCCTCCCTTGTGCCCCCACCTTCCCATTCCAGCAGGCGCAACAGAGGGCAGACGCTGGAGGGAACCTTGCGTGATTACAACCAGCCCCTCCATCCCTTGTGCCCCCACCTTCCCATTCCAGCAGGCACACCTGAACTAAACCCTACTGTAGTGCACCTGTCACCACATGTGTGTTTCACTGCTAAACCCTAGTGCCTCCTATTAACCCTGCCCCTTCAACCCACCCTACTGTAGTGCATCTAGCTTGTCCACTTCCAGCAGGCACACGTTTAACGCCACTGTAGTGCCAGCCATCTCTGCGTGTTTATGCAGCGCCTCTCACTGTCATTTCTCCGCTCAGAACACCTGCCCCCACCCACTCAATATATAGCATCCACCAACGCGTCTTTTCTCCCCCCATTATCACCCCCACTGTTGAGTAGATGCGAATTCATGGGGCTTGCTGAAGTGGCACTTCAATGACGATGGGCTGCCCTTCTCAACGGACTTCTTCACAGCTGCAGTATTCCAATCGTTTCAGAGGCCGGGGCACTCCTTTGTGGTGCTCCGATTCAAGCAACTTGCTTTTTTTCTGCTAGGGGTATGTTGAGCCATTGGGTGGTTGTGTTAACACGGTGTTTTGTCTAGTTGCAGTGTCGCGATGCTGGTTTTTGACAAACGTTAAACACACCCCAACCCATTGCTCGTTGCAGGTCGAATACAAGTTGATCAATGGTGAAGAAATGCCGCGAAGCCCGGTTCACAATCGAAACGCATTGACGATTCAACATTCGAAAGTCCACAATGCCGTCGCGTTCGCCGTTCAGAATAGGACCGCAGCTACGGGCCCGTGGTGGGAGGCTGATAAGGCTGCATGGAAATTCCATGCAACCACCGAGAGGGTGTTTATCTCATGCGCAGGGTTGCCTGGGTTGCAAGGTCCCTAAGCCTCACCTTTTGAGCAAGCATATGATGTCGTGTTTGCAGCTGTGTTTGCGTCGTATTCTGTGTCGTAGTAATTTGTTCAATAACCCTGTCAATTAGTAATTGCAATAAATAATCGTACTATTAATGCAGGATTAAATAATATAATATGCAAATACAGAACCAGAAAACAAAAACTGTTCTGTACACATACGTTATCTCGCTAAATACAAGTTACCCTATCAACAATATCGTAACTGTAACACACAATTTCGCGAGACAATAATATAGCGACACTTGGGGACGCACTAGATGCACACGTCAGCAGACCCCAAGAAAATGATTGCGACGTGTTGCACAGGCGTGCATTTGCCTTGTGCTTCATGCTGAAACGTGTAACCAACAGTTCGGTCTTATTGTCTGACATGTTCGGTAGATGCTTGACAGGTGTCGTAGACTTGAACAATGATGAACAAGACGAACTCTCTGACAGTGTTTGGCGCGAGATGCGCTCATTCGACGCAACCCAGTGCACACATGACTTCCCAGCCAGTCAAAAAGTCACAGCTAAGGGAACGCGATGTTACTCAGCTTTTCGTGTTCAAATGGGTGTAAGCCGCTTCAGTCGCAAAAGGTGAGTTACTACGTTTCGTGTGCCATCGTGGGGACTTCGCTGCACACAAGTTCATTCCTGCCACAAAGTAACTCTCCAGTATGTTTACGTTCGGAGAAACCCAACCTCGCATCGCCACTCTGCAGTAGGTTCGCTAGTAACTAGAAAGTTGTTTCCTGGACAACAACCGAGAAGTAACCAAAAAGTAGCTTCACGGTAGGTTTCGATCAGCCCCATTTTTGGGATGCTCACACCTTGCTCTCGTGCTCTCACCTCGCCTTCCTCCACGCCCTACTCTCGTCCCGTGCTTTCATCACATGTGTCTTCCCTCCTTTTTTTGATTTTTTACTTTTGCGCTTGCGGCTGCAACGAAGAGCCATCGATTATTGCTCACCCATCCATAAGTGCTGCATTCGTGCAGCCACGTGGCGAGGAGCAGCGAAGCGAATGTTTTTGTTTAGCCATGCCGCAGCGTGCGCCCCTTTGTTCACAGGATCTGTGCGATAAAACCTGAAGCTTCCCTTTCAGTTTTTTTTGCTTGCTTCCATGCGGTAAAGGCGAGGCGAACACGTCTCAAGAATCGAGAATGGCCGCAACGACGCGGATGTCTTTCAATTCCCACCGCTTGATGAGTTTTTGCACCTTGGGCCGTTTTTATATCCGGCACGGCTGCTATCGTCTTCATTACTTCCCATCACTCCTATTTGTTCCAAAGCTCTCAGAGCTGTCGACAAGGTTTGTTGCGCGCTGGTCTCCTAATCTTCTCGCTGCTCTCACTTGGCGGTTGTGGCGAAGGCCAAGTCTGGGTGGTGAGTGCTGCCCACCCCACCACCCACCACTAACTGCTCAAGTTGTTCCCGCATTTCTTTTTCTTCCCCATTGTCTTCTATCCCCCTTCCATTTTTTCACTCACCTCGCTCGCTCGTGCCTTCGCTTCGTCCAGGTGTCAAGCTGAGGTGAAATCTCCTTGCGCTGTCATCTTCATACCTTTAGTACACATCGAGTCCAAGAAACCAACTTCAGACACGACACTCTGTGAGTCACCCTGTTACATAATATGCTCATACCATTCAACACGTTATTTGTGCTTCTCCTTACAGATTCTTTGAGATATATTTCCACTTCATGTGGCTGTACATCGTACTTGGTACCTTGGTTTCTACTGCTTGCATATTGCTTCCTACCTTAGTGATCTGCATATTCGGTTCTCAAATTGTAGCAAGTGATCAGACTCTGATTTGACGCTCATTTCATCATCTGATCCTTGGTTGCCAGTATGAGCAGCATCTCATCGCTAATGCGTATTGCACTCCCGCTGCCACTGCCCATGGCCCCCCATTACTTCTCGTGCTGTTGCAGTGCCGTTTCAAACTGCCTGCGCATACGGAACCCAATTCATTTTTGCTGGTCTTGAAACTCAATTTATTCCTTCACTCTTTATGCAGGGGTCTCAACATGTATGTTGCAACATACATAGTAGTGAATTCGAACTTTGTAGTTGCCACCGCTTTATTGGTGGTCGTGGCGGTGTATGTATGGAAGGAGTTTAGAGACAAGGGAGACAGAGATCAGCAAGGGGTTGGCGTGTCTGGTGGAGAGCATTCGCTCTGCCCCTGTTGCTGCGCCCTGCGGTTGGACAGGGAGTAGGGAAGGAGCAGGAGGGGCAGAAGAGTGTGGGGAAGGGGCAGGAGGCGCAGCAGAGTGTGGGGAAGGAGCAGGAGGGGCATAAGAGTGTGGGGAAGGAGCAGGAGGGCCAGAAGAGTGTGGGGAAGGAGCAGGAAGGGCAGAAGAGTGTGGGGAAGGAGCAGGAGGGGCAGCAGAGTGTGGGGAAGGAGCAGGAGGGGCAGCAGAGTGTGGGGAAGGAGCAGGAGGGGCAGAAGAGAGTGGGGAAGGAGCAGGAGGGGCAGAAGAGTGTGGGAAAGGAGCAGGAGGGGCAGCAGAGTGTGGGGAAGGAGCAGGAGGGGCAGCAGAGTGTGGGGAAGGAGCAAGAGGGGCATTAGGGAGTAGGGAAGGAGCAGGAGGTGCAGGGGCAGGAGAAGCAACACGACCTGGAGTTGTAGCAAGCACGTGGTGAAGGGGCTGGCCGTATGGGAGCAACTGCAGCAATGGTGTACCTGGTGGAGAGCAGAGGGAGGTGAGAAGGGAGATGGAACGAGAGGAACATAGGCAATGACAGGAAATTCAGAAGTTTTCATTGAAATCTAGTATACAAGAGTTAACCATGTTGCATTCTGGATGTAGCTTCTTGTGATCCATGAAATGAGAACCTGAATGTGGGTACTCTCCCCACTGGAATATAAATGTGTTGTGGTTTCTATTTTGGAATGTAGAGTACTTGCACGATTCGTTATATTCCACCTTGATTCTGACGAGGCGCGGCCTGACCCGCCCCGTTTCCACGCCCATTGTGGTCAGCATCTCGCCGTCAAGCACATCACTGTCAAATTATGGTACTGTAGAGCGTGGTTCGTTTCCATCACCCAAACGCACCACCCGAAACCGCGATTTTCTACTCGTTCCTGCTTTTGGCAGTCGCATCCATCACACCTTGCAACCAAATCAGGGCGTGGAACATGAGGTTGTGAAACCCCTGAACATCGGTACTGGTAACCACCTTCGTCAACTGCTGATTTGCCTCTTGCGAAAGTGCATTACATGTTACAGCCCCTCGCACTCAAATAACCCCATCATAGAGCTCTGCATACGGCTTAGTAGACAGCAACCGTACTGAAACACGACATATCCTACTTAAACTCTCCTTAACGTTCGTAACCTTCATCTGAGCCTCATTTTGCCCGGTCTTCACGAATTCCTCTGCTCTCCTGATCCCACTAACGTCCTTGCTTCAGTTCAATATCAGGGTCCTGTAGTCTGCTTTCTCGTTCCAGTCCCGCTGATCCGGAACGTCACATCAAGCCAGCGGATCGAAACAAAAGCAGGAGACTGAAGGAGACACGAGTCTGGCTCATTGTTCTGTGAGCCCTTGTAGAATCTGCCTAAGTGGCGCGCCGTTGCGATCTTATCGTAGTTGCTAAAGCAATTTCTTACATACTTTCAAGCGGCATTGCGGACGGTTCCTTCGTCTCTACCTCCCGATTTCGCGGACCGTACGGTGCAGTTAAGCTTCGTGTACTTCCATCGCTTCGCAGAGCAAACGACCTGCGTCAAGCAAATATCCAAATCTGCAGACCGCACGGTTCATCGGACCCGTCACCATGTTCTCGTGGATCGCGTCGAAACCGGCGGCGAAGGAGGAACCGCCCATTCCCAAGAGCTTCGACCCGCTCAAGGGGCTGGGCGGAGCCGTCGCATTTTACAAGGATGTCGATTCTCAGGTTAGTTGGTCCTTATGAGCTATTAATATCGTATCGATTCGCAGCTGGCCGTCGCTTCCTCTCGCCGCTCCCAAGAGCTTCGGCCCGCTCAAGGGACTGGGCGGAGCAGTGGCATACTACAAGGATGCCAATTCTCAGGTTAGTTGGTTCTAAGGAGTTGCGAATTCGTATCAACTTGCAGGTTAGTGTCTCGTTGGCCGTCAGTTCCGCTCGTTTCTCCCAAGAGCTTCGACCCGCTCAAGGGTTTGGGTGGAGCAGTCGCGTTCTACAAGAAATCCGGCTCGCAGGTCAGCCGGTCCTTACGAGCTATTAAGATTGTATCGATTCGCATCCGGCCGTCATTTTCTCTCGCCGCCCCGAAGTGCTCCGACCAGCTCAAGGCCTGACTGGGGCAGTCGCATTCGACAAGGATTCCGCTTCGCAGGCGATGTTTCCGGCGATTCCCAGGTGTGTTGGGTTACGGTTACGTCATCAGTCCGTGCCGCAAAAAACGATTCCACTGTAGTTGCGGCAGGCATCGCTCGTGTTGCACCTTCCGGGTATAGCAACTTTTGGACATTCGCGTTTACTTTCCCTCCTTTTCGATCCCGCCTCGTCTGATCATCAGGCCGCCGATGCTGCTGGATCAGGCAAGCTGATTGGCTCCGCTGCTGCTTTCTACGCCAATGTTGCTCGCGAACGTCTGCTAGAAGCAGCTGACGCGGCTGTGCCCGCGGGTTCGAATCCCAGCGCTGGCAATAATTCAACAGCCGAAATTTGCCCTGGCGTTGGCGAAATCAACGAGTTCCTGCGACGGGGGCGACGCTGCATTGACTCTGTCGCGCCGTCGCTGGCTGATGCGGGGGAAGGCAAGGCGGAGGGCGGTTCCTCCGTGCCTGCGCCGGAGCTGGACTTGAGGTTCGGGAGTGCGGCTGAGGAGCCGGTTCGGTGGCTGTTCAAAGTGGTGATTGGCAGCGAGCATGCGGGTGAGATGGGTTGGAAGGGAAGGATGAGATGAAGGGAAAGGAACGATAGAGGGGGTTGGGGGGATGAGGAGTCTGAGGAGGACACATAAGGCGGTATCGTGTCAGCCATCGTGTATGCATTCTTCTTTTGAGAATTCTCAAAGGTGACTCCCAAATTTGAGAATTCTCAAAAGTGACTCCCAGATTTGAGAATTCTCAAAAGTGGGATTGTGTCAGCCATCGTGTACACATTCTTCCTCGGTCACTCTGTGCCAGAGAGTGCACTGCTTTCCTACCTACCCCCTATCCTCCAACCCATTTCCGTCCCTGTGCCCCCCATCCCTTCCTCCCTTCCACCAGATCTGGGCGATTGTGTCAGCCATTGTCTACTCCTTCCTCGACCACTCTGCCCCCCATTAGCCAGGAGTGCTTAATGCACTCCTTCCCCACACCCTATCATCCAACCCATTCCTTCTCTGTGCCCTCCTCTCCTCACCCCCCCACACACATTCACCAGATCTGGACGTGATGGTCTTGGCCATCGTCTACTCCCTCTTCCTGAATCACTCAGAGCCGCCCAGCGCACTCCTTCCCCACACACTATCCTCCAGTCCATTCATTCCCACCCACCCAACCCCCCACCCAACCCCCCCTTTCCACCAGATCTGTACGCGATCGTCTCAGCCATCGTCTACTCCTTCTTCCTGGACCATTCAGAGCCTGCCAGTCCTCCTCTCCCCACCTTCTCCCCTTCCCCCCCTTCCCCCCCTTCCACCAGACTTGGATGCAATCGTCTCGGCCATCGTCTACTCCTTCTTCCTGGATCACTCAGAGCCGCCCAGCGCGCGGGCGGCGGGGCTTTGTCTGCTTCCTCTAGTGCACACGAGCCGGGCGGATTTCCACCTCCGCACTGATGCAGCGTGGCTGCTGCAAGCGATGGGCGTGGACACACAGGCACTTCTCTTCTTAGATGAGGTGAGATTGTTACAGGGTTACCATGGGATGGCTTGTTTCA